ATTGTTTTCAATTACACACAAACACACATGTACGTATTGGGGAGTGGGTTGTGTATGTGTGGAGGTCGTGAATCAGTTCTTTTTCTCTACCATTTGCTTTCTGGGGATCAAACAAGTTACCAGACATGCCTGTGACTACCTTTACCTGCTGAGCCATCTTGCCCCTGACACCTTGTTATTTTATTAGATAGGGTTTTCACTGGTTGTAGCACAATAAATAAAAGACCCAGAGACAAATATTGGGGTTCAGGCTTCAAGCTGAAGACCAGAAAAGCAAAACAGCCAAGCCAATTGATCTTACCTCTACTGAAATGACAGTCCTATCTCCACAAATCCTCAGAGGCAAAAGGCCTCAGACTGCTGCCTCTCTTCAGTGTGACTGGAGAATGAATGCCAGCTCTGAGACTGCTCCTGTCTTAAATACCTCTCATGAGTCCTGGAATTAGTGTGTGATCCCATATCCTGAGATCATCTTTGTGTGAGCTATTTTTCTGTAGGACTGGATATATTTTGTGTAGCTCAGTGTGGCCTTGGACTGACAGAGATCTGTCTACCTCTACCTCCCAAGTGATGGGATTAAAGGTGTGTACCACCACCTCCTAGCTTCTGTAGCTAACTAGTGTGGCTGCTTTGCTATTTTGATCTCCAATGGCTTTAATAAATCATAAACAACGTATCACCACAATTCCCCTTTTTTGTAGAGAAGACTACAACTAACATAAGAAACTATATACAATCAGTACAATAAGTATATATAATATATACAGGCAGTGAGTTCATTAACAATGTCTAGTCCATTTGCATCTGATAAATTCAGAGAAAATACTTCATTATCTATCTTGTCTTGGTGAGTCCAAAGTCTTGTACCTAATTTACTTTCTATTCTAATTTGCATTGTCAAATTATCTTTTAATGTCTTTCAAACCTTGCATACTTAACACATCTTTAATAGGTTTCTTTTCTGAGTCTGGTGAACAAGGAAAACTATAATTATCACTATCTAGTAACCTTGCATACTTAACACATCTTTAATAGGTTTCTTTTCTGAGTCTGGTAAACAAGGAAAACTATAATTATCACTATCTAGTTTCAACTCCTTCAGAGACCCAAGAAGGAAATATTAACTGAGTAAACAGGAAGTGCAGGCAAGTGGTCTTCCAAAAAATGACAGAAATGGCTGGCTGCCTGAACAGTCACCCAAGATTCCTCTGCAATGTGGGTGCATCCATCTTCAGCCCATAGGCCTAGAATATCTGACAGACTTCTCTGTGAAGCAGGATTTTATTTTTTTTAATTTATTAATTTTTATTTTATATGCATTGGTACTTTGCCATGTGGGTGCTGGGAATTGAACCCAGGTCCTCTGAAAGAGCAGTCAGTGCTCTTAACCACTGAGCCATCTCTTCAGCCTGAAGCAGGATTTTCTAAAGGACTGTCCTGCCTTGTCTGGTCAATTTGCAATCACTCTTTTTGGTGTCCTGTTTGTCCAATTTGAACAGCATACTATCAGCAGTTGAGGCAAGAACACCTTCTTGCCCAGTGGGTACCTTTTGCCACAAAAAAAGTAAACTCCATGTGGAGTTTCTTCAGTGCCATCATCTTCTCTGAAGTAGATTGGTGCTGCCAAGAACAACTAGGACCTAGGATTTGCCTGTCATTCTAGGTTAGTTGGCCAATGGGCCCCAAGTCCAACTGGCTGTCTTCTCAATGATGGCATGTTACCACATTTTGCCTTTTGCATGTTCACGAGGCATGGAGCTCAGATCCCCATGCATATGTGGCAAGTATTTTACCAAAACGTAAATATAATCTGATATGCCAGGTATATCAGATAGGTTGAGGTGGGAGTTTCACTTCATCCTAGGAATTCAAATCTAACCTAAACAACATCATGAGACCCTGTGTCTAAGTAAATAAATAATATATACAACCCAGTATTATTCATCAGGATCCTATGATAACCCCCAGGGGCACATAATTTCAAGAAAGACTCAATACTAAGCATATAATTACGTGAAGACTTAGTATAGTAAGATGAAGATAGCAAAATCAGCAAAGGATAAGGAATGAACAGGAATCTAGAGAAAATCAGGGTGCTTTCCCCAGCAACAAATTCTGACCATAAGGATTAAGTACTTTATTTTAGGGCTGCTTATTACAGAGCTGGGAGTGCAGACCAGTTGATAGAGAGTTTGTCTGGTATTCATGGCATGCTTTTGGTTTGGGATTTTTTTGTTGTTTGGTTTTGGTTTTTTGGTTTTGTTTGGTGTTTTCAAGACAAGGTTTCTCTGTGCAACAGCATTGGCTGTCCTGGAACTCACTCTGTAGACCAGGCTGGTTTCAAATTCACTGAGATCCACCTGCCTCTGCCTCCCGAGTGCTGGGATTACAGGCGTGTGCCTCCACTGCTTGCCAAGCTCTGGTTTCTGTCCTCGGGACTTGGGACATGGAAACTAGAGAAGGATCAGAGGCAGAACAACCTGGATTATATAAGACCTAGTCACAAAATTTTTAAGACTGATTCTCACTAGAGAACTGAAGTCAAGACCTTTTTTTTTAATAATTATTTATTTTTATTTTTGTGCATTGGTGTTTTGCCTCCATGTATCTCTGTGTGAGGGTCTCAGATCCTCAAGTTACAGACAGTTGTGAGCTGTCATGTGGGTGCTGAGAATTGAACCTGGAAGAGCAGTAGGTACTCTTAAGCACTGAGCCATCTCTCCAGCCCAAAGTCAAGGCTTTTATTGGGAACTGATCACTAGGGTGTCCTCTGCCAGGCTTCCAGAGGGAATATTGGTATTCCCCTAAAGTGTGTCATTTGCCCCATCAAGGCAGAGTAGGACTAATCATATAAGCTTCCCACACATCACTTCCAGAAACCAAATAAAGCTAACTTTATAAGCTGCTTCAGACATACTGTAATAACTGCAAAATATTTGTGTGTGTATATACGTGTATGTATATAAGATATGTCAGAGGACAGAAGTTTGGCTAGCAAGCAGAAATACGGAAATAAATGATAGTGTCGTCCACTTTAGCACTATCCAGAGCAAGGACCTACAAGCATTTCTGAAATGTGAAATAATACTGTGGCTTACTTCTTCGGTGCTAGGAATGGAACCCAGAACTTCATACATGATAGGCAAGCTTGGGTATATTTTGTTGATGGTGGCGGTGGGGTTTGCTTGTTGGGAGATGTGGTTTTATAGATTCCAGGATGGCCCCAGCTCCTCACCTTCCTACTTCATTTTCCAAGTGCTGGGATTGAGAACATTTTCATCTTGCATGGCTATATTGCATTTTTCTAGGATGTTTTTGCTTTTTATATAGCTAGTTTATTAATCTTAGCAATCATAGTAGTGAGGAAGGACTTCCAGGCCACAAAAATAACTTGCTCTATTTTTTTGAAAGATTTTATTTATTTATTATATATATAACATTCTGCTTCCGTGTATATCTGCACACCAGAAGAGGGCACCAGATCTCATAACGGATGGTTGTGAGCCACCATGTGGTTTCTGGGAATTGAATTCTGGAACTCTGGAAGAGGAGCCAGCCAGTGCTTTTAACCTCTGAGCCATCTCTCCAGCCCAACTTGCTCTATTTTTAGCCACCACTTTTATTGCTTGCTTTTTTCATTAGATTTTTGATTGATTTGATATTCATATATATAGCATAAAATATGGAGACAGCATTTTTTTCTAGATGTGGAAAAAAAATCACTTGTTATACATACAGAAGTCCTACATGTTTGCAGTTGTTTTTTGGACTTTTGTACCAATGCCACACATTTCAGTTACTGAAGTTTTCAAGTATACCCTAATATCTGATAATCTTTTTTTTTTTCTTTCCTGACTAATTTTGCCATGTGAACTTTAGTAGAACATTTTTCTGTTGGGGGGGGGCCGCACTTGTAGCTGTCTTTATTGAGATTGGTTCAACTTTTAATGCATTATTATCTTGACATTTTAAAATGGGTTCATCTGTGAGAGCATAATGTATCTTTCCATTTGTTTGTCTTTATTTTTTTAAGATTTATTTATTTATTATATATGCAGTGCTCTGCCTGCATGTCAGCCTGCAGGCCAGAAAAAGGCACCACATCTCATTACAGATGGTGGTGAGCCACCATGTGGTTGCTGGGAATTGAACTCAGGACCTCTGGAAGAGCATTCAGTTCTCTTAACCGCTGAGCCATCTCTCCAGCCCGTTTGTCTTTATTTTTACCCTTTAGAATTTCTAACTTTCTGGCTTATTCAGTTTATTCCTAGGAATTATATCTTTTTGTTGCTTCACCAAATAATTTATGTTATTAAAATTGTATCTATTTTAATAGATCTGCCTTTAGAGAAATGATATTCTAAATTATGCAGAGTCCTGCACTTGTAGTTTGAGTGTCCACTTAGTTCTTGCTGTAATGAGCATGTTGGCATCATCCTGTGTGAGTTGTTGCCATGAGACTCAGTAAGGGATTTACCCATTCCCAGAGCCTTTGAGGCTGAAAGATAGATCTCCTGGAAAATTCACCATTGTGTATCCAGTGGGACCACTGTTTCTAGAGACCCAGATGAACTATATCTACAAAGCCACAATTATATATCTGCTGTTACTTTAAAAATCAGTAGTCTATAGCCGGGCATTGGTGGCGCACGCCTTTAATCCCAGCACTCGGGAGGCAGAGGCAGGCAGTATCTCTGTGAGTTCAAGGTCAGCCTGGTCTACAGAGTGAGTGCCAGGATAGGCTGCAAAGTTACACAGAGAAACCTTGTCTGGGGGGAAAAAAGAAATCAGTAGTCACTATTTTGGTGGCAATCCTTTTTAGCAAGTTGATATGCATGGTAATGAAACATGAACTGCATATCTGCAACTGCTGCTGTTTCCACATCTGCTTGTAAGTTAAAGAGCCCAATCTATACACTAGTTGTGTGCGTTGAAAAATTACTAAATAACTACAGTTTGTCAAGTCTTTAATAAAAGTCTTAAATTCTTATATATTGCAGAATTTCACAAACTTGTTTGGACAGCCACTCGTCTGCTTGCTTTCTCCCACCACATATCCAAAAGCTTTGCAAGGTATGTTCTTGGTGCCTGATACACCAATAGGTCTTAATGAAAAAAGACTGTGTTTGTTTTGAATTCCCATTATGATTAAACATGGATGTATGGTTTTTGTAGCAAGTGTCAATCTGAAATATACCTGGAATCCTTGCTGACAATGCTCCCCTAATGTGCTGTGATTAGAGAATTCAACTCTAAGAAAGAAGTGGTTTGATCCCTTGCTGTTAGAAAGCTCCTGGTTTTTAGATTTAAAAATTGGTTTTGATTTTCTTGTCATATCCATATAGCAAGGTTTTCCTACATCTTAGGCATCTTTGAAGACTGTACAATTGCTGGTCTAGGAAACTTCTCAGTCTAAGAGTTAGGATACATGAGTTGGCACAACTTAAAAGACTTCTTTCTTTTCTTGTTTTTGTTTGTGTTTTTTTTTTTTTCTTTGCATTTTTATCTTGTACTTTTAAAATAAAAATCTCTTCAGAATTCACCAGAAGGACAAGTTTGTTTGGGCCATTTCTCCAGTGGCTACAAAGGAAAAGCCTTTTGCCCTTAGTATTTTGTCTTTCACAAGTTACACATAAATTTAATCTAACCCCCAGTCATTTCCTAGGTCAAATGCTAAGTGAAACTTCACACTGTCTTAGCAGTACTTGTCACTGTTTCACTATCTCCCTGACTGTGAATAGTGCTGATGTCTCTCTGTGGGAGATGGCATTTTACTGCTACTTCCCAGCCCGAAGTCCTGTCTGCTGACATAGTTTGACACAGGAAGTGATGTTCAGCACTTGAATGCCTGAGAGAAGCTGGAGACTTACACCGTTGTTTTAAGGTAAGTTCTGCTGTTTAACAGGGAAAATCTTGTAGCAATTCTAAGTTCACATAGACAAAGACAAATCCTAAGGGATAGAACTTACCTTCAAACAACGGTAAAATTCTCCTGCTTTGGGGATTTTGCATCCTATTTCTTATTGTTTCTGGAGGAATGTAACCTCTTCCCAGTAAATACCAAAGAGTGCTGTCATCATCCTGTTCTAATGTAGTTTTATTTAAAACTACATGGTCAAGTGGGTTAATACCAAACTTCAGTTAGAACTAAATTGTACAGCAGAGGAAAGCACAGACTTAAGAATGCCAGCTGAATTTAAGTCCCAGCCTAGTCACTTATTAGCTATATGACTTTGGAATGCTGTTCAGCCATTTTGTTGATCAGTTACTTCTGAGTAATAATAGTACTTAACCCTGCAGCATTGTGCTAGAAAGTACTCAGTTTGTGTTGTTAATATGTGTAGTTGTGATTCGCCTCCTTTTTTTTTTTTTTTTTTTGCCTAGCACCCTATCTTTACTATAAAACTTAAGACTACAAATATTTTTAAAGTAAAATTCAGCCACCAAACAGATTGAATATTCTATTATGGAAAACATTTAGGATTTATTCAATAGCATTGTTGCTGCTGACCTCTACAAAAGAGCTTGGCACTCTGGCCACAAAGTAGTAAATGTATTTAATAATTTCCTACACTTTTGGTGCCTGTAGCTCTATAATTAGTCAAGACATACATTATTCATTCAGTACAGTTTTTTTGTTTGTTTTGTTTGTTTGTTTGTTTTTCGAGGCAGGGTTTCTCTGTGGCTTTGGAGGCCATCCTGGAACTCATTCTTGTAGACCAGCCTGGTCTTGAACTCACAGAGATCCCCCTGCCTCTGCTTCCCGAGTGCTGGGATTAAAGGTGTGCGCCACCAACGCCCAGGCTCATTCAGTACAGTTTTTAAGATTTGTTCATCAGCCATTGTGCTAGGCAGTAGGGAACAGTGTTGCTGATACTGCAGTTGTGTTTCTCATACAGACAGTGTCTAGTAGAAGGTAGAGACGACCAAACAAGAGGAAGCATAAGAGTACGAACAACGACCTGCTGCTAATACATACGAATGAAGCAGAGGGAAGGATGATGGAGGGGGTAGGGAGGGACTAAGCAGGAAAGTTCCAACAAAAAAATGTATGTGTTATAGCCTAAGCTATGAGAGCCATAAACATTTAGAAAAGTTTAAGTAGTGTATCTGGCTGAAGAGATTGTATGATTGAATGACTAAAAACCCTTTAAAGATGGATGATATGATTTGAATTGGAGAGATTTGAGTGAAAGATGCTGAACAGAGGGTGAAAGAGCATTCAGAGATGAAGACAGAGTTTCTGTTCCTCCCAGTCCAGAAGCCATTAAAAACTGGGAGTAAGATACAGAGGGAAATGCTGAGAGATCAGTGAGAAGGAACAAACCACCACCACACCTTACCTCCTTAGCATCTCAGCAGACAAGAGATCCAGTTCCTGTTTCTCCCTGCTTATATCCTGTTTATACCCAGCTACATTACTTCCTGTCTGTCTGTACAGACCTCCAAACCTCTATGGTTAGATAGTGATAAGCTCCATTCTCTGACAGGCTTTATTTGTACAAGCAAGATATCACCACACACAGAGGACAAATTAGAGGAGTGTTGAGGGAAGTAGCCAGGTGATGGTGTTCGGAGCTCAACAGTGACTGAATGCTAATCCCACTAATGCTGCAGGCCTTGCTGATAGACTGAGAAACAGAAAGCGAGAAGACAGGAGTCTGTGGCTCAAGTATTGGTAGAAAACCTGAGTCTTGATGAGAACCTGCACTAGAAAACCGCAGGGGAAAGCATATGTTGAATTCAGGATCTTTTTGAGAATGGAGTTGAATCTAGCCCAGTGCTGTTCAGTAGAAATGAGGGATGAGTTACATAGCTAGTGAGTATTAACAATATGCCTTTTTGTACTAAGTCTCTGAAGTCTGGGATACTTTCATAGATAGTTTGGAGCAGCCAGTCTATGTACAGTAGATCACAGGACAATAGAGAACCAAATCTAGGGAATTCAGTCCTAGTCTTTGAAAATTAGGCAGCCGTGAACATGAGTAGTAACTAATACCCTGGAAGTTAGAGAGATCAACAATATGTAGGGCCAAAGAAACAAAGTGTTGACATTGAGGAGCCAGGCAGATTATAGGTATGGTGGTACATACCTATAGTCCCACACTTGAGAGGTAAAAAGGCATGAGGATCAGGAGTTCAGGTTTGTCCTTAGCTACTTTAGAGTTCATGGCCAGCCTAGGCTTCATAAGACCCTGTCTCAAAAAGGGCCTGGGTTGCAGGGAAAGAACAACCAATCAGAAAATTGGCAGATCAAGTACGCATCAGGTATTTATATCATGATTGCTTGCCATATTCGGAAGAAATTGATTAGTTGGTGTTAAGATAATAAGAAATGTGTTTAAGCCGGGTGATGTGGCCCATACCTTTAATCCCAGCACTCAGGAGGCAAAGACAGGCAAATCTCTGTGAGTTCAAGGCCAGCCTGGTCTACAGAGCTAGTACCAGGACAGCCAGAACTGTTTATGCAGAGAAACCCTGTCTCAAAAAACCAAAAGGAAAGAACAGAATTGTGTTTACTTAACATTTTATAATTGAATGAGGCTCAGTGTTTTTATTTTATTCAAAAGGCAATATTCCTAGGATGTGTTTTCAAAGCTTCATGAAGAATTTATGTTGTTGAACTGTAATTGATTGATACAGCTTTAATTTTATGTTATCAGTATATTAAAATATCCCTCATGTGTTCACTAACCTTTTGTAAACCTCTTGTCTGTATGTAACATGTTTGTTATTACAGATCAGTCTCAGCGAGGTAGCCTCTTCACCCTCTTTTTGAACAATCCTCTAATGGCCTTCCTATTTGTGTCTGGATTGTCAAGCATGCGTAGAGGCCTGTGGGAAAAGTGTCAAGAATATCTTCGAAAAATCAACCGTGACATTGCCCAGCTACTGACCCATTCACGTTCAATAGGTACCCTGCTAATCTCCCTGCACACTTAACAAAGCTTACTGTAGTGGCTTAAATGGTTTCCTACTATAAATTGTTTGGGTTTTTTAAGGTAAATTGTCCCAGGTAGGAAAGTCATGAAGGCTTTCCTTAACTTAGTTCCCTATTGAAGATTCATTTTCACATGCTTCAATTCACTGTCACCTTCTCCTCTACAGATCAGGCCTTTCTCCAGTTTTTTGGGGATGAATTTCTTCGATTGCTTCTCACAAGGTTTGTCTTCTGTTCAGCCACCATGAGGATGCACAAGGCCTTCCGGGTAGGCAGTGAATCATTAAAGATCAAGTTTACCATTTCAATCCATTATTTCTAGTCATGTATTTTATTTACACTAAAGGTTAAGTAGATTCAGAATAATATTCAGAAGAAAGCATGTGCAGCTTTACGATGAGCAGTATTGGGGACATCATGGTGCATGGTTATATCCCAGTACTTGGTAGGCTGAGGGAAAGCCTATCTCCACAAGCTGAAACAAACAGATAACAAAATATTACCAATGCTGTGACACAACTTCCCATTAGGAACATTTTCATGAGCTTCCTGTTTTCCCAGCACTTGAGAGGTGGGGGTCAAAGTTCAAGGTCACCCTTGGCTGCCTAATGAGTTTGTGCTCAGCCTGGGATATATGAGACACATGTCTTTTTTTTTTTAACTTACTTTACTTGGGAAGACTTTTGTGGATCCTGCCAAATCTCTCCTCAAATGCTGCTGATAACAAGTATTGTGATCATTTACCTTTATTACAACATTGTACTACAGAGAAACCCTGTCTTGGAAAAAAAAAAAAAACCTTATTTCAGGACTGGAGAGATGGCTAAGTGGTTAAGAGCACTGACTGTTCTTCAGAGGTCCTGAGTTCAATTCCCAGCAACTACATGGAAGTTCACAATCATCTGTAATGAGATCTAGTGCCCTCTTCTGGACTGCAGGCAGACATGAAGACAAAACACTATATACATAATAAGTAAATCTTAAAAATAAATAGAATAGAATAAAACCTTGTTGCTGGGTGATGGTGATGGCAGTGGTGGTGGTACACACCTTTAATCCCAATTCTCAAGAGGCAGAGGCAGGCAGATCACTGAGTTTGAGGCCAGTTAAGTGTAAATAGTGGGTTCCAGGACAGCCAGAGCTACACAGGGAAACTCTCTCACAGAAAAAAGAAAAAAAATAAACGTGTGCTTTGTTTTCTGTCTAGTATATAAATGGATTTATATTGCTTTATTTTAGTAGTGTTCTAAGTGCTGGAGACATAGCTCAATGGTAGAATGCCCCCCTAGTATGCACAATGCCCTGAGTTCAATCCACTGGCAAAATTATGTTTTTATGTATGTGTGTATGTATATAAACATGCATATATATATATATCTATGTATCATATATACACACTTGTGCACCCATGTACATGCATATATGTATGTGTATGTATATAAATATGCATATATATGTGTATTATATACTACATGCATATATGTATATATGTGTGTATTATATATACACACTTGTGCACCCATGTACATGCATGTATGTGTGTATGTATATAAACATGCATATATATATATATCTATGTATCATATATACACACTTGTGCACCCATGTACATGCATGTATGTGTGTATGTATATAAACATGCATATATATATGTATTATCTATATTATATATATACCTATGTACATGCATATATGTATGTGTATGTATGACCTGTTGCTGCAATTAAGCCTTGTTGATTATAGTGTTTGTTCTTTGGTTGGACTGTGTCTCAGTTACTTACCCATTCTGCAAATAATGGACATTTTGGATTATTTCCAGGTGTTTTTTATTGTATAAATGATGTAATAGTAGTTGGTGCATACTTTAATCTCAGCACTTAGGAGGCAGAGTCAGGAGGATCTCTATGAGTTTGAGGCCAGGCAAGGCTACATGGTGAGACCTTGTTTAAAATAACTAATATGGCCAGGTGGTGGTGGCACACATCTGTAATTCCAGCACTTGGAAGTTAGAGGCAAGCAGATCTCTGTGAGGCCAGCCTGGTCTACAGAGTGAGTTCCAGGAGAAATCTTGTCTTGGAAAAAAATTAAAAATAAAAATTAATAAATGAATAATAACCTGATGAACTCGGCCAGGCAGTGATGGCACACGCCTTTAATCCCAGTACTCAGCAGGCAGAAGCAGGTGGATCTCTGAGTTCTAGGCCAGCCGGGTCTACAGAGCCAGCTCCAGGACAGCAGGTCACACATAGATACCCTGACTTAAAAATCAAAAAAAAAAAAGGAAGAAAGAAAGAAAGAGAGAGAGAGGCAGGCAGGCAGGCTAACAAATAAGCAAAAATTAACAAAACAGAGTATATTGGCCAACTACTCTTGGGCATGGGGCCTGCCCTGGAGTGTGATTGATAAACCCAATGACACACCATTGTAGAAAACTGATTTTCCTTTCCTCAGCAGGTATCAATTGCAAATACTTCTTGGTTGGGGTTGGGAGTTTGTCTGGTTTGTACCTGTGCTGGTCTTCTTCATCAGTCTCTGTGAGTTCAGATGTGCATCACCCCTGTTGTATTTAGAGGACACAGTTTCCTTGGAGTGACCCATCACCACTGACTCTTACAGTCTTTTTTCTTCTTTTGCATAGATCCCTGAGGGTGGGGGGGGGTAGGATTTGATGAAGATATCTTGTTTAAGATTGAGTGCTCCACAGTCCCATTCTCTGCACATTGTCTAATTGTAGGTCTTCATGATATGACACCATCTACCGATGGTAAGGACTGAGTGATGCACTGAACTGAGTCCTGACCAAGTTGGTATTCACGATTTTGGGTTTGGGTTTTTTTTGGGGGGGGTTGTTTTTACTTGTTTGTTTGTTTGCTTGCTTTTGTTTTGTTGTAAATGTTGTCTGTTGCAATTTTTGCTTCAGTATGCAACATATATGTTGTGTGTTTTTAAAACACTTTTGCAACTTTTAGTTTCAAAATATTCTTTCACATGGTTTGATTTTTTTTTTTTTTTCAGGCTGGCCTTGAATTTTCTTTCCTACTGCCTCAGCCTCCTGAGTGCCAGAATTATAGGTATGCCCCACTATGCATTTGTGCTTACAGTAAAATGCGCAGAGTTGAAGTGTACCATTGATTATTACTTGTGCTACTACGTGGTTAACATATTGTGTTATTGTAAATACAAACATCTTCTAAGCCATACAACGGCATCATTCCAGAGTATTTCCTCCCTCGCCCTTCTGGTGAGTCTACTAGCCACTACTCATGTGATAGTTTTTACACTGCCTTATGAACTAGAATCACATTTTATAGAATCTTACGTAAAGCCATTACTAAGATTGGCACATTTTGTTTCTTTTATCACTGGTGTTGTAAATTTTAAAGTGTCTCAAGAGAGAAAGACATCATGTGACAGAACTTGGGTTGAGAGGTTTTTTATTGGGAGACAGTGAACAGGAAAAGTGGGGAGGGGAGACCAGCCTCTGGGGACAGGAGAGATGAGAGAGACAGAGAGACGGGGAGGGAGACAAAAAGACAGGCAGAGCAGCAGAGAGAGAGAAAGGAACAGATAGACAGAGAGCAGGAGAGAGAGAAAGATGGGGGGTGAGCAAGGCCCTTAAAAGGGGGAGGTATTGAATGTGCACAGGTGGTGCTCTTAGTGACTGCAACTGAGGACATGTCATGTCGGAACTCCAAGAGCAGGCCAGTACAGATGCCAGAATACTGGCAACTGGCTTGTTTCTTATTCGTTATTTTTAGTTGGTTTTTGTTTTTTGGTGTTTTGTTTTGTTTTATGTGTTTTGCTTATATGTGTATATGTGTACCATATGCATGTCTAGTGCCCACAGAAGTAAGAAGATATCATTTGATGCCCTGGAACTGGAGTTTTGGATGGTTTTGAGCTGCCATGTGGGTTTTGGGAAACAAGCCCAGGTTCTCTACAAGAGCAACAAGTGCTCTTAACTACTGAGCTTCTCTCGAACTCCACTTAGTTCTTTTTACTTCTGAGTAGTGGTCCATTAGTCCATTGTTCTACTATTGATCATCACCCAGGCAGTTGTAAGTCGTTAGCTAGTGAATGAAACTCTCCAGTACAAGTAGAAGAAGTCGTGTGAGTCTTTGCAGACATATTTTGGTTTTGTTTTGTTTTAATTTCCCCACTTACAGAAAAGGCTTTGTTTTAATAAAAGTGTCTTGTTTTATGCTGCCTCACCACTAGACAGCAGTTTGGTCAGCAACTTAGTTTTGTGTCTTGTGTGGCAGCACAAGATCTTTTCAGTTTTGATCTCTTCAGACATAATCATTAGGAAACTCAGACATCACTCCCTTTGTTCCTACCTCTTTGTCCTCTCCACTGACATGACACAGTGTTTCCTATTGTCACTGTTTTACTTTTCTTTCATTGCTGTTTGACATCTGGTATGAGTTGACTTTGTAGAATGTGTCTTCTACTTCAGGACCACTTGCCCCTTCCCACTTTTTGAGTTTTATTGGCAGAAAGTTGTGTGTTCCATTTCTAGAAACTGCAAGACTTTTCTCAAAGCAGGTCATTATCACTCCATGATAAAATGTAAAAGTTGCTTGTGTGCCTGGCTGCACTGGGTGCCATCAGACTACATTCTGACCAGGTGGGTGGGATCCAATCTGCATTTTACTCAGCAGTAATGGTGGTAAAAATCTTCCCATCTGCTTGCTGGCTGGCTAGTTTATTACTTGTTTTGTGGTACTTTATTTATTTGTTTGCTTTTTAATGATAACAAAAGTTTGAAATGTTCAGGAGATTCAACTAATTGAGTTTTCTTTTTTCTTTGGGTCCCTAAGAAATCTTATCTCTTCTAAGTTTACAAAGGTTTTCTCCTAGTTTTTATTTTAGATTTTGTCTTTTCACTCATTTTGATTTCTACTGTAGCATTTTTTATTTATGAAATATTTTTTTTAATTCCTTGTGTGGATCTCTGTCAGGATTTGTATGGCTTTTTGTTTTGGTTTGGTTTTTTTTGGATTTTCTAGACAGGATTTCTCTGTATTGCTTTGGAGGTTGTACTGGAACTTGTTCTGTAGACCAGGCTGGCCTTGAACTCACAGAGATCTGTCTGCCTCTGCCTCTGCCTCCCAAGTGCTGGGATTAAAGGCATATGGATTAAACCACCAACGACCGGCTGTATGTATGTATGTATATATATATATGTGTGTGTGTGTGTGTGTGTATATATATATATGTATATATATATTTTATGGTACAAAATATTGGGCCTAACAGTCATAGAAGTTAACAAATATTTTTGAAATAATTCAGTGTGCAGATGTATTAGGCTGACCCATATTAAACTATATGAAGAGGTTAAAATTGTCACTTATTAGTAATTCTTTACAGAAGCAGACTTGTGATTATACTCTCAGAGGCTGACTTGGCAACATTGCCATATGTTAGAGGTATAACAAGATTCTGCCTAAAAGTCAACAAATAAAAGTTCAAACCAGGGGCTGGAGAGATGGCTCAGAGATTAAGAGCACTGACTGCTCTTACAGAGGTCCGGAGTTCAATTCCCAGCAACCACATGAGATCTGGTGCCTTCTTCTGGTGTGTAGATATACATGGAAGTAGAATGTTGTATACATAATAAATAAATAAAATCTTTAAAAAGAAAAGTTCAAACCAACAAAAAACACATATACTACTAATAATAACTGACGAGAGGAAAATATTGAGCTACTCCTTCATACTGTCAAACCGAGTAGTTTCTTCCCATAAGACTGTGACACATGACTTTCCTTATTTACCAGGAAACACGAAATTACCCAGAATCCTATCCACAACTGCCAAGGGATGAAACTGTGGAGAATCCTCACCTTCAGAAGCATATTTTAGAATTGGCCTCCATTCTGGATGTTCGAAACATCTTCTTCGAGAATTCTATGGACGACTATTAAAATCCTCTTGTTTAACAGTTTTCATCTTCCACAGATTTTAAATGGTGCAGTTTTTATGTGGTGACAGAGACAGTTACTAGGTTTTTGTGAATTTAGGAACCACCATTTTAAAAGCAAACTGGAAAAACATTCAAACTTTTAGGGTAACTTTTAAAATGTAATCTTTCAAGTCTTTTAAAGTCTCAATCTTGAAATTTTTATTTTTTGTTTTGACATGTGATACTTACCTCCAACATCTACTCCTACATTCAAATAGGTACTATTGCCTCCCTAAGAAGAATAAATTATTTTTACATAATGAGGACAATCCAGAAGTTATACTTGGACCTTTAAATGTCTGGGAAATAACTGTTCATAGTGGTGAAATTGGCCACATGGACTACTGAAAATCAAGAGCAGAACCCTTCTGTAGAGCTCCTTTACACTCCACACTTATAGGTAGGAAACTAATGTACAAAGGGATTTCTTAAAAATCACTGAATTTCATTCAATGTTGTCAAATCTTTAGGATCTGTTTAGGATTGATTTACATTTGGAAATTAAATCTTCAGTTGGAACTTTGAGGTGACAGAGCTTATTTAGAATGTGAATACTACTATCATGAGATTTGTTTGTATATTTTATTTTCTTTGTGGTTTTGAATGCTGGAAATACAAAGGAAAATACTTTTAAAGATTTCAGCCAAAATTCAAGTCATTGGCTTTATAAATCCTGCACTGTCTCCAGTAGATTTCTATATAGTCTATACATTGACGATATTGAACTTTTTAAATGGTGTCTTGATGGATTCATTGATATACTCACTGCACAGTTTCTAATTCTTTTTCATATTCCAGTTTCCAAGGCTTCGATGCCAGAGATACTGTCAATGTGAGGTGAGGATAACTGGGTATTGGGAAAGTAAATCATGAGTTGATTTTGATTTGACAATTTGGAAGTAAGATATTAAAACTCCCTGTTTTTTTATTTTATATTCATGCACAAGTTTTTATTATTAATATTTTAAATAGGACTCAGTATGTAACAAAGGTTTTTGTGTGTTCTTCCCTCTATCTCCTTCATAATCTCAAAGGCACTAGCTGTGAGGGTTTCTCCCATCCTAGTTCCCTTGAGTTGCATGGCATTTAAGGTCAGAAATGCATGAACCACGAGGCCTTCTGCCTATTTTCTGTATAGGTTCATGGTCTAACCCTAGTTCCTGGAGAAATGAGGTGGCTGTTTTCAGTACCTCTTTCCTGTGTCCCTAAGGAAATTTTGATGTGGTGTTTTAACCTGGTTACCTTCTCTCACCTAGAGCATCACTTAAGTGTAAATTGTAGCTGTATCTGATCCAGCGCACTGACTTCATGAAGTCCATATTATGCTTGGGTCAAAGATTTAAGATGTTTAATTTGCTGTTAAAATTGTTTGTTTTTTTATTCAGTATTTTTAAAAGCTTAGAAAAAAAGTTACCCTGGAGGACCCTTTCCAGGTGGTGGTTTTTCTTTTTAAAAACCTACTTCCCACCAGGTGGTGATGGCACATGTCATTAACCCCAGCACTTGAGAGGCAGAGGCAGACAGATCTCTGTGAGTTCAAGGCCAGCCTGGTCTACAGAGCAAGTTCCAAGACATCCAGGGCTACAATACAGAAAAACCCTGTCTCAAAAAAAAAAAAAAAAAAAAATCTTACTTCCCTTTGTTTGCAGAACCATAATGTATGGTGGTTTTCCTTTCCTAACTCTTCTCCTGGACTGTGGCAATACATGAGCATTAGCTATCTGACCTCTGGTCCAGTTCCCTTAAGTGCTGTGCCTGCAGCACACATTTTACTGTTCCCTGTCATTTAAAGTGGCCTGTCCTATGTTTAATCCTTTTCTGCTAAGCATAAGGACTACTTGTTTCAAAACCAGAAAGTCTGAGTGTTCTGATCCTGGCTTTCCTAGTAATTAGCATGATGCCCTCTGGCAAGTAACTTTGTGTGTCTTCTTCTTAGCACTTTTCTATATAAAATAGTGACTCACCCAAGATCCTATTCCTGTCTGTGATTCAAACAGTTGGGAACCTTGATTCCAAAAATGTTGATTTCTCCCCTGTTGCTTCCAGAAAAGTTGTGTGTTTTTAGCACTATAACATCCTTTCCATATCATGTTTAATAAGATTTTTTAAAAAGTCCTAGGTCAGGGCTGGAGAGATGGCTCAGAGGTTAAGAGCACTGACTGCTCTTCCAGAGACCCTGAGTTCAATTCCCAGCAACCACATGGTGGCTCACAACCATCTATAATCAGATCTGGTGTGCTCTTCTGGCCTACATAATAAATAAATAAAAAAAAAAAAAAAAAAAGTCCTAGGTCCTACTTAGATGTTTTGAGACTTACGTAGAGAGACTATCCTTCCATGATCAGAAATATGTGTGTCTTAGAGATCACAGTGTTAATCTAGATTATAACAGGATCCCTTAAACTACTAGTAATGCAATTCCTATATGATAATAAAAGATCTAAAGTGGAACAAAACTGAGGCTGTAGCTCAATGGTAGAGCATTTAGCTAATAATCAGAAATCCTGTGTTTGGTCTCCATCATTAGGGTAAAAAAAAAAATTCAAAAAGAAAGAAAAAAAATAGAAGCAATTTTGAGCTGGGTATGGTGATTTCTGTAATCCCAGTCCATAGTTGGCTAAGGCAGGAGGATTGTAGGGTCGGGCTAGCCTAGACTATATAGCAAAAGTCCATCTCAAAAATAATTGCTAAGAGATCTTGGATCTTTTGAGAGCAAAACTACAGTAGGAAATTTGAAGCTTTTTTTTTTTTAATCTATGCCTTAAAAAAACAAAATATGTAGGCAGTGGTGAATCGAACCTTTAATCCCAGCACTAAGGAGGCATAGGCCAGCCTGGTCTACAGAGCAAGTTCCAGGACAGCCAGGGCTACACAGAGAAACCCTGTCTCAAAAAACCAAGGGAAAAATAAAACATGTATTATACAGCTTCGGTGCACCACATTTTCTTTATGCACTTGAACTGTAAACAAAGAAGACTTAAAAATCCTTGCATTGAAGATTAAGATTGTGTTTTACTAGTAGGACCTTGTCTAGTATGCACACAGCCCAGGTTTCCATTCCCAGTGCCACCCTAGCTACATAGAGTGAGCTCTAGACCAGGCTGGGCTACATCAGACCCTGTGGGAAAAAACAAATTTGCTTATTTTAAGCCCTATTTAATCTTAGAATTTATAAAAACTTAAATATTGGAACTAAAAACAACAAAGCTAAGGAAGCAACATTTTTGGACTCAAATTGCACAAATCTCTATAGATTCTAATAGCTCCCAGCTTTTTTTTTTTAATTTAAACTAGAAACAAGCTTGTTTTACATGTCAATCCCAGTCATCACCCCCCCCACTCCTACCAACCCCTTATCCCATCGCCTTTCTGCTTCCCCAGGGAGGGTGAGGCCTTCCAAGCAGGATCTTCAAAGGCTGTCATATCATTTGGAGCAGGACCTAGGCCCTAAGTTTCCAGCTTCTTAAGAATCACTGTAAACAATGGGCAGTGGTGGCCTAAGTCTTTAGTCCCAGCACTCAGGAAAAAGGGGCAGCCTGGTGTACAAAGCTAGTTCCAGGACAGCCAGAGAACTATACAAAGAAACCTTGTCTTGAAAAACAAACAAAAATGAACCACTGTAAGCCAACTAGAAAGCATCAAACTGCAAGATACCAGTTACACACAAAGCAAAGTGAAACACAATGGGGTTTTCTTTCTATATCTGTATATCTCTGATGTAAAGCAGCCACCTTTTCTGTTCTATAGAAGGCAATGCTGAGATGTCAGAAGCTGCTGATTATTCAGTGACTGAACTTCGAAAACACTTTCTCTTTTCAGCCCCCCTCTCCCCAGTAGCTGAGTCTTCTTTCTGTAATGAACAAGAAGGGAATATTTAAGATTTTGTTCTCCCTGTATCAGATATTCAAACCAGTTAAGATAAGGCTCAATCATAGAGTGCTTGCCTAGCATCTGCAAGGCCCTTTGTTTAATTCCCAGTACAATGAATATTCATGCAGGTGAATCATTGACCCCAGCATATTTTTATTAATTATAAAATCAAATATTTTTTCCTTTAATTTTGGTCAGGATATATCCTTTGTATGTGAGTGTTTCCTTCCTAGGAAGTGGTGCTCTGGAAACCTTTCAAAGCACAGAATTGATTGTGCACTTTATATTTTTAACAAAACTGAAATGTTTCACAGTTTTGGAATTGAGGTATAATTTGATCTTACTTGAGGTTTTCCTGACTCAGGGTTTGGGTTTGGAGTTTGGTTTTGTTTTTCTTCTCCGTCATGCAATAGAATTCCCTTAAATGGGTAATGTTACTGAATTTCACTGAAGTCAAGGAAGAAGTCCAAATCAGACATCCGAATCAGCCACAGACCCTTCTGTAGCATTCTTCTCCAAGTTCAATCTGTGTCTGTATCTGAGGAGTGGTTTCAACTTAGTTGGAAAGTTTCAGTTATCCATGCAGACTTATAATCACCCAAATAACCAGAGAATATTCTGGACTGGTGACACATTAAGGTGCCAGCATCTGCAAACTTGGCCACTGCCAGAATCATCTGTCCATCATATGTGAATATAAGACAATATGAATCTAAATCTAAATGCCTTGTCTCCTGGTGATTTGGGAGTATTTTCTGTTTTCATGTTTATTTGGAGAATTTAAAGAGTACTTAGGTTAAGTACTTTTTAGAACTTAGTTATTTGAAATTCTTATTTTTAATGGCATGTGTATATTTTCTGATGCTAAATGCAATCTCTATAAACTTTGTATATATGTGTACATATCTGTAAATATCTTGGTATGCAGTTATGCAGTGTGTGTATAGTCTATACCCATACTCATTGTGGGCTAAATTTATTTTAGTTCTGTGAGGACATCAGAGTGGCATTGTTCATGCTACTATAATTGGTTTGTGGCTAGATCTCATTCACAAGCCTCAATTTTAAGGGGCTTGTGTTGAGATAAAATGGACTCCTTTAGAGTTGATATTAGGATATTAAGAAAAGGCTGCATATTCTCAAGTTTAAGGTCATCTACAAACTACAATTTAAATTGCTAGAAACCCTGAAAACATAAGTTTGGGAAACTGAGACACCAACAGGGTCTTAATTTTATTAGTCCATTATTTTTCTTAGCCCATATTTCAGTGGTACTATTGAGCGGAAAAGTGTTTATATACTAGGACCTTGGGGTTACTGAAAACATTTGAAAATAGGAAATGGCTTTTAAGTAAAAGAAATACCTGTTTATCATTTTGATATCTGATGTTAAATTTTAATTTTTTAATATATGCTCGTGTATGTGTGTCTCTGTGAGGCAAAAGAATGGGCACTAGCTAAGGAAGGCCGAACCTCATGGATTGGACAGAGAGGCGCTGGATTGTTGATGAGTAAGTCTGCTGAAGTAGACTAGACTTTCCATACTGGAATTGCATATCAAAGATGATTCTGTTCATCTGAAAAAAAAAATGCTCCCAGCAAATTCAGTGCCTCCCCTTTCATTCCTGAATTCTCTGGGAATATTTTTGCTCTGCAATTTAACCATATATTTACACTCTCACAGTCTAGGTAGATTTCTTATGAAGTGCCCG